ATTATATATATATATATATATATATATATATATATATATATATATATATAGATATATATATAATTTTTTTTTCATTTTGGGCATTCGCATGGCGCTGAATATAACTCAACAATAATACCGATTATCATGTCATACATTCATTACATGGTATTACAAACGTTATACTTTTTCATATCCCGTCGTAATATATATTTACATTATTATATATAATACATATACAGGATATTTCGAATCCAATCGATACGCGACACCCTGTATATCTACGCATATCCTTAAAATATAACGCGTTTTACGTATATGCGTTTATGTAATAACGTTACATATGTAGAAATGTAAGTATATATATATATTTAATAATACCAGCTAAAACATTTGGTATCAAAACCATTGCAGGAGGGAGAAAATAAAACGTCTTCGAAAAGTATCTCGTATCTCGTTCATCGTGCCCTTCTCGATAGAATTTAACAATATGATTCTAATTATATATTATTATCATATGCTAGCGTACGTTGTGGAAAAATAGCAATTCAACCTTCTGTTTCCACCACATAAAATTACTATCAATTGTTTACTCGTAAAAAAATAATTTAAAGAGAAAATGTAAATCACGAGTGACAAGATAATATAATTAATATCAAGTTAATAAAGTTATCTTATTACGTTTGCTTGTTAAATAAACTTTGTAAATCTATGGATTGATTTCAATAAATTCCAATTTTTACGAACGAGGAGGGCAATTTTACTATATATGTATATATATTTCCCCCCCCTCCCTCCCCCCCTATATAAATATGGCAGAAGAGAAGCAAAGAGGAAGACGCGATTCTACGATTCTAAGAGAAAGACGTTTCATTTTCGGAGCATAAAGATTGTTCGGGACAATCCCGCGATATCCCGAGTACATCCAATTCGCTGTTGCACCGCGAAACAGTTCACTTTTAACCAGATTGTCTACGCTAATTTCATTCCGTCGTGAGAGTGTGTCAACGCTTTTTCCAGCTGTGTATACCAATTTGTATAAAAAATATTTGTATTTCTTGGCACAGTCGCAAATCTCCGTTCGCGCGTATTACATCGTGATGCGTATTATTGCCTCACTTTCGTCGATGAGAATTCTAAATTGCCTACGTTTTAACGAGCTGCTTATTATCCGACGCTTTTTCCCTTACCACTAACGATATTATAACAGTGAAGTATGTAACGACGTTACATATATTATTACCTCTTGGCCCAGATTTTTTTCCCAAAGTGCAATAAATAAGACTTTACAAGATATATCACTCGATCTATAATATATATATATATATATATATATATATATTAATGTCAAAAACGCTGTCTGAACAATGTAATAATTGGCTCATCGCAAAGAAAATACATTCAATTAAAAAAGTTCAATATAAACACGAAATGGCTTTGTATTGCACGCTTAAAGAATTTTTACAAAAATTGCAATCAATATCAAATCCAGTTATATTAAAAAGTTTATTTAAATATGCTTATAAATTTTGTTAAATCTGAGACCTGTTTCAAACGGTTTACTACTCCCTACGTAGATCACTTGTTGTTGTTGTTGTTGTTGTTGTTATAAAAAACATTCAATTTTCTCAAAAGCAATTGTACAAGCGTTTATAATTTGTCCTTAAAAATGCCTAATTTTTTTAATTTTAGCATTCGTGTGAAAAAGCGAAACTTTTACATCTCTTACAACAATGTCGACAACAATAACTCACGCGTAAATCGCTCATTTGATGATATACAAAGTTTTGTGTTTAATCTTGTGGATAAACCGTGCTGCTAACTATGCTATATGCCTGAGAAACACGTAGTGTCGATCATCGAATAACAATTTGTAAATATCAGGAGGAACGATGAGCAACGTCGTGACTCGACGATGTGAGCAGTTTCTTGAAAATTTCCATCACACGAGCTTCCCGTCTATTTAATAATAATAATAATAATAAAGTTGGCAAAACGCGACGTCTCGTTATCGGAGATCCCCCATGGCAGCGTGTTCTCACTTTTATTGTTATCAGCGTGTCTCGAATTACCAATCACCGTCGTTAATCGCCAATAACGCTGTAACACGCTAATGCTTTACGTGGCGCGAACCCCCTCTCCTCCCCCTCCCCCGCCCCCCCCATCCTTACGCCAATTGATTAATTGGAGCGGAATATTTTTGCAAAAAAAGTACCCTCCAGAGTTAAATCGACCGCGATCTCACTCGTTACCTTCCATAACATCCTCGCGATAACATTAAGAGATTAGCGGATGCACGCGAAGAGACTTGACTTTCTTCCTGTCTGACAAAAGGACAATTCGCGAACGTCATTCGAAAGAACGTCGGAGGAACGTTGCAAAGAAATTTGAGATATCTTCTAGATATTTTTATCTAGAAATCTCACCGTATCTCATCGATTCTCGATTGCTCTTTGCAATTTTTTTTCTCTCCGACGATCTCTCCTACACTACAGATTCGCGTTTCCTCTATTCTAGCACGCAGCTAGAAAGACATTTCTGTTTCGTCTCTTATTACTTTCGCCTGCAAAAGCAATGATATTATCTAACTAAACGCGAGTTATTATCTCGGTTTTTTATCGCGCGGTTCATAATTTATTCTCATATCCAAGTACAGAGCGAAGTCGACGTGAGAAATGAACGCACCATCCGATTAATAATCGAATTAGTGTAATCGCGTGACTCTTCATAAAAAAAAAAACGGAGAACAGCTTCATACGAGAACTACGAGCATGCTTAATATACGTATCAATCTTCGGATTATGCATTAATATCACACTTTAAATTACGGACAAGTATCTTTAGCTTAAGAGAACCCGTCAACCGACAAAACGACACATCACTTTCCGTATCAAAATAGTAACGCATATATTCCACACTGTTAAATACTGATCTGAAAAATAATACTATTAATATATTTCATTCCTTTCGTTAAAATATATTTGCCTCTGAGATATCCATCAGAATTATTCTTACTCGGTGAATAAATCCATCCAGCAAACACATATTTAAAAAGAATATTAATAACGATAATATAAGGAAATTATTAATTTATAAGAATAATAATTATCATATAAAAAAAATAATGATATCAATTACAATATTCAAGATAAATAAAATACTTTCTTCCTCGGTGGTTCAAGACAATTCAAGACAAGGGGCAAAAGGGAAAAAAAAAAGGAAAAAAAAGGAAAAAAAAAGGAAAAAGTTACGTGTATCGTTTTGCTTGTTTACGGTAACATGTAGATATAAAAGTCAATAATAAACCGACAGGAGACAGACAGATAATACGGCGAGGAGACAGTTGGCGCTCTAAAAAAAAACGGCGATAGACAGCGCTGATTATTATTTTATCGTGTATCGGACGATTAGTGCGATCGAGATCAGGTGGCACATGCAAGTTGTTCGTCATAGAAAAACAGCGGAGAATACTAATGGAGACCAGTCGTGGATCCGCCAGCTGATAATCTCTCGCACGAAAGCGCTTTTCGCGCGAGCGGGATGGATTCGAAAGTGAGAGTTTGCAACGATATGGAACGATTTTCTTGCAACTCTCTCAACCGACGGACAAACGCTATTGAATAATTGCTCTGAATAAAGGCTCAAGATTCCCATTAAGCGAGAGACGCAGTTTGTTTAACTCGATTAAGTTATTGCAGCTTAACGGCACGGTCATTCGGCGATCGAGCCTCCAAAATCCAGCTGGTAAGATATCGACATATATCTTCTTTTAGATATCTTCGCATACATTTAGTGATTGATCGATTATTTCAGAACCACGTGCTTATGATGAAAAATATAGAAAGTGCGCTGTTACACATCTGTATATAACGTACATGTCTATAAGTATTGCCCAAAATATGTACTTTATATTATATATGTATGTATGTAAAAGGATTGTTAAGTTGATATGTCATCGAAGGGGTAATATATTATATGTATCACAGTGCTGTGATTGAGAGACTAATCGCATTAATGTTTCTCTTTCCTATTTTCTCGTCGTTCTTCCACCTTTGTTCTTAGTTCTCTGAGCAATTGAGTTTAGCTACTAGAAATTTTGTTTTCGCCACACGACCAACATCGTTCGAAACAGTTTGGAAGGAGAGCAATGTTCGAGGGTTCTTAATTAAAACAGCGAGTTTATAGCTCATAACGTGTGTTACACACTTTTCTCGTATTTAGTAAAAAGATGTTTCTCCTCGGAAAGATATTTTAAAAATCAAACAACAGTTATTGTTAGGACTCTTAATATTGAAATAAATAAATAAAAACAGAAATAAAAGCTAATGAGAGTACAGTTATCGGAGCACAGAAATTCTAAATATATTTAAATAAATATTTACTTTAAAATATAAAATATATTTATTTTAATTACATAAGTTCCATTATTATTGAACATTTTTTTAAACTATTCTTAATAATTTGAATCAAAGATAAAAGAATTATTCCTGATGAACACAGACTAAGTTTGTTTTTATGCTTAGGAAGAAAAGTACTTCCGTCAACACAGAAAGAATAATTTTGTTGTCATTAAAATAAGAATGTAAAAATTGTTTGCTAAAATATTGAAAATTTTTAATTATCATATAATATTATCATGTTTAAACGTTTTATATAATTATTTATAAATAATAAAAAATAAAACGAAAAAGATAAATGGGATATTCTAGAATGTATAGATTTAAAGAGGTAAAACGGTGTAAAATCGCATAAAAACTGAAATAAAAATAGATGGTATTTAAACTGTTTAGAATAGAAATATAAATATAATGTAGATATCCGTGTCAGCTTATAATTTAAAATAATGCCTGAATAATTGCGTTGCAATACTCTCATTAGCCCTTTATTTATCTTTATTTATTATTAGAAATCGTTCATGAGCGTTCGTTCATGAATTATCAAGTTCTTATGTCTATTTTCTTGGAAAAATTCTATATAAATTGTGACTCGTTTTTACTCTTTTTATCTCGTTTCGAAGACACCAATCAATGTTTTGGTCCCTATGCATTTAAACACAAGCGCATTCAATCGCGCGAAAAATGTTTGGGAAAACATTAATTGCACAGAGCAAACTCTCCCCGAATATATCAAAAAGTATATCTCTCACTCTCTGTATATTAAATGTCCTCGCGCAATACGGGAATACGATTAAGTTTAATCACGATCCTTAGCAGAATTAGCATTAGTGATCCTTTAGTTTTTGGTCTCGCTTCTAACTTCTTACGTCTAGATATTGTCTCGTTGAAAACAAAATTTCGTGAAACCAACCAGCTCACTTTGCGTTCCTCTACATTTCTTTATTCTCACTCTTCGCTACGCAAATACGCGATAGATACCTCTAAATCGTCGACTTGTTCGCATAGATGATTGTTATTCATATTATCACAAGTACCGAACTGCATTTATAATTGCGTCGTAAGATGATTCGTAATAAGAACTGATTTCTTGTAATGTCGAAGGTATTTCAAGCACAGAAGAAATTCCTTCTCTCTCGTCGATATCGTATGCAAATACCGATATCTATGAATACATACTGTGTATCCTTATTTATCGCTATAAAAAAGACACGTCCAAATTGTTATCTCCAAAGTGCGCCTACCAGGATTACGAAGAAATCACGATTCAGGTACAGATACGATTAAATCATATACGTACTAAACGATCATAAAAATTAATTATTTAAAGAATATTCTCTAAATCAAATATATCTCTCGGTAGAAGAATCGTATTTACAAATAATACGCAAAAAGATACACATATTCGTTCGTGGCTCTCTCGCGGTCCACGATATACTTTTTAAGAATACATATAAGTCGAACTCATATAACCGCACCATATAAAGCGTCTATATATAAGCTCGTTTAAGAATAGTTCGCTTAAAAATAGAAATAGTATAAATTCGCAAAAACTCCGATCTTAAACAATAAGAAAAATCAATTATAAAATATCATTATGATTAAATCGCAAATGTCAGTTTCGATTTCATCGACTATAAGCCACAGTCGATGATACGCACAGCTTGATACAAGTTATTTACAATAAGAACGGAGTATTGCTCGCATCAATTCCATCTTTTCTGATATTTCTCTCTCATCAATTCCTAATTCAATAATTTCTTAACCCCTCAAACCTTATGCATTTAATACACATTGTGTGCGCAGTGAAGTGTTCCATCTTGATAATTATACAATTAAAAAGATAATATAAAATAATACAGCTTGAATGTAAATTAAAAATTAATAGATGTATGAACTTGTCTAAATAAATTATATACAAATAAGTAACTTTCTTTTCCTTTATACATAACATATAGGTATGTAATGTAATATTAATATCTCTATATTTAACATAATTTTGCTACTTAAAATAAAATCGATTTCTCAATTGTAATTTGTACATCAAGTTGATTCGAGGGGTTAATTAGCAATGTAACAGCTATTAAAATGACCATAATCTATTTCCTAATCAACAGTTCGTCAATATTAATCCACCAATTTTCTAACGGGCCATAATACGACGAGTGTTTTAAATCGATCCATGGTCTCGTACGAATCATTGGTTTCATTAGCTGCATTTCCCCATTGTATTGCTTATGATATTTCACGATCAAAGATCGAAAAAACTGACTATTGAACACGATTTGTTTGCTACTTTAGCTGATCAAGTGTGAGCAAGTAGATATTTGAAAAGCACCAATTTCATCAATATTTCATCAATATTTTATCAACATTTTATTTGTTATAATCGTCAAGAAAATCGATGCCAAAAACGAACGTGGAAAAGATAATCTCTCAAAATAAATTTATAGTTTTTATAAGTTTAGATTTCTATAGATTAATTAATGAGTGCTTTCTATTTCATGACATGAGTCGACACAATGAGTAATAAAAACAAAATGATTCTTTTATCGACTTATGTCACTAGGAAAGTACCCAATAGATTTGATGATCACAGATGAGTTATATATTGACATACTGATGCGGATAAATGCAAAAAAAAGAAACTTTACATATAACTAAAGCCAGCGGCACACGGTGCTTTTTTGGCTGCTGGATTGGCTTGCGTGCTCCGGTGCTGGCTATTTTGCTGGCTATTATGCTGGAAATTGTAGCCTGTCTATGCTACTGGCTGGTCTGCTGAATTTTTGTGATAGATCCGATGTTATTTTTCTTGCGTGATCTTGTGCTGGCTCATTTTGAAAAACCAATCAAGACGCAGCTTTAGATCACGTGATCAAAATATTCCCTTCGAATATCAGATATTCTATCATTCTTCTGTTGCTACAATTTGTCAAAGTAAAAATAAATATGACGAAAGACAAAAAATAAATAAATAAATATGTCAAATGCCTTCTATAAAATTCTAGCTACTCAGCTTTGCACCGTGTGAAGCTAAACAAGACAGCCAGCATCGCTGTCAGCAGCGCTGCCATCACGACAGCAAGCATGCAAATCTAGCAAGAAATTTAGTAGCCAAAAAAGCACCATATGTCGCCGACTTAAGTCAGCAAAATTCAGTTTTCAAATAAGAACTGAAAGAAACGCGACGGAAAGTGAAATACTTGTACGTACCTGCTTTATACTGTGATAATTCAACGAGTTAAATGCGCTAAAACAAAATGGTTTGCAAGAATTCGTCCTGTCACAATCAAATTGAGTGATTAGCATTATCAAAAAAGGCGATTCTTCGTTAAACAGAGGATCCGTGGAATACATATCTTCCTTCCAAAAATCAAGAGACCATAAATAAAAAAATTGATTTTCCATAGCAATTTTTGTGTATATGCACGACGTAAGGGCCCCCTGGTGGAATTTAGATTGACTTCCACTGCGGCTTGTGGGGACCCCCCCTTTTGTGTCAGGGACCCCCTCTAGGAACCCACAGCGCTTTGCTTTGTTCCTCATCTACTGAAGCTTTCACTTGTGTGCATATATATGCTACGTTTACGCCCGCTGGAATTATAGCTGAAATATTAAAACATAAACATGAACATCTCTTCATGCATTTTTTCTCCAACGAATTAATATCATCAAAAAATCAAGAAATCAAGAATAAAAAAAATGTGCCATTAAAATAAACTAAATATTCTTTTCACATATACAAATAAAAAATTCAGATTTGCTTACCGGAGATGTAGTGCTTGTATTCTGCTTCTATCTTGAGCGCCTGCTCAAACATCTCTTTCGCAGCCTTTGTACTGATTTTGTCGCTCGGATATCTAGAGTCCTTTACCTCTTTAATCTGCGTTCTATCCTTGAATTTGATTAACAGGACGATAGGATAAATTTGGTGCCGGTGAAGCCTTTCGATAGAAGCGATGGACACATCCAAAATACAATGTGTATTCTACAATAGATACAATGTAAATTATTATCGGTACATCTCATTAAGTAATATTGATTACTTCTTGCTATCATACATGTTTAATACATTTTATCAACATTGTTATAAATAGGTTATTTTCACTTGTTATATTATTATTTATTCAATATTTGCTCATTACCTTCTCGCATATATCTTTAACGGCCTGCACTGTCGTGCACTCAAAGTAGCTGCCCTTTTTCCTATAATCCACATAGAGCGCATCGCGTAATCCTTGTTCCAAAGTTGATTGTGAACAATGCATTGCCTCCGCCAGACATCTGGTAAATTGTCCCGGATATTCCTGCAGAAGTCTCGTTACCACACACTCACTGAGTGGCCCGATAATCAGGACGGGTCTCAAAGTAGGATCTGCAATAAAGTCAATAAAACTTGTTAAGTCTTACATCCAATTGTAATATTAATAAGATATTATTTCAGATAAAAAATTATAATTATTATTGTGTATATTTAGCAACACGCACAATCGAGTCTCTCGACGCGCTGATAACTCGCCGGAAGGGTATCTTCGTTTAATGTCCCACTATCGCTGTACCATCCCAAATTGACTCCTGACAGATGATGCGACATTTCCTTACTATCTCTGCTGCTGGATGATCGTTGCTGTTGTTTTTTTCGACGGAAGAAGCTCCTCCTTGCGCTAGTATTGCTGCGTTTGCCAGCGTCCTGTTCCAAATCACCTAGAGACCGTCGTAGAAGCAATTCCTCTTCAACCCTAAAAATAAATTACGTATATCAATTTCCAACTTGTATCCATTAAATGTTAATTAAAATAAATTTCAAATATTTTTCCTACTTGAAATGTCTTGCTACATCCATCGCAAACTATAACTTACTTAAATTTGCTGGGAATTATCCCGCAAGTTTGTCTACGACCGGTCTGATCGACTATCCACGCGCGCCAATGGCCTGGTGTCCCATTGAACATGGTATTATCCACGTACAGGATATCGTCTTTACTGAATCGTAGCTGCAGGCTATCGCCTACTTCGCCAGTTCGGTCAAACAGTGCCTTCACGTAAAAGCTGTCACCTGGCTTATCCTTCACCTCGTTGTACCGCTCTGGCATGTACTGAGCTACCAGTGTCACTTTGTCTGCCGGTCGAGCCAGTTCAAGCGCAGCTTGCTCGGCAGTCGCTTGTCTCAGATCCACACCGTTGTACTCCAAAATCCTATCTCCGGCAAATAGACCGGCCTCCTCGGCAAGACAACCTGGCTGAACGGAATGTACAAAAATGCCAACACCGTTTCCGCCCACCAGTGATATACCGAGATTCGAGCATTTTCTAGTTTCGATCAACAAATATCGGGGCTCGCCGCTCGGTGGTGGTTTCCGATTCTGTTCCTCCTGTGTCGGGCTTCTCATCGCGTTCTGCCGCAGCATCTGTGCGCGACTTAATCGATCCAACGTGGCAGCGCTACTAAGTCCCGGTTTGCGAATGTTGATGTCCAACGACGCAGAAGGTCTCATTTCGCGTTCTCGCTCCTGCGTGCTCCTCACCTCCAATGAGGCAGACGGCCGCATGTCTCGCTCGACACGTAGCGTGCTCATGGTAGGTGCAGCAGTAGTGGTGACAGTTGGAGCTGTGGTGGCGATAGTGATGGTAGCGTCACGTTCCGGTTCGGCGGGTTCCAGCGTTTCCACCGTACTTTTGCGAGGTGCTTCCGGACTGTTGCACGGTGTCGGCGAGCCGCTACGGCTCCCGGTCGCAGCTCCATCACCGGCCTCCGATGAGCTCGACGATCCCGAGCCCTCTAACTCGGTGTATTCTTAGAAAGGAAAAGATTTTTTTTTAGAAGAACTTACCTCAAAAAATAGAGAAACAAGAAGATACAAATATCCTGAAAAATTACAAAGTTCTTCAGATTATTTTATTGACATCGACGGGGAGGGATCGAGAAAGAGAGAAAAACGAAGGACGCGTAAATCATACCATTCTCGAGAAGCATGCAGAGATTTCTAGATACGACCTAAAGTGCGTCTTTGGCTATTTTTCTTTTGTGCAAAAAAGATTGTACTCACTGTCCGGGCTGTACTGCACCAGCATTGTAATCGAATTACCACATTGACGTAGGACATTAGCGGCCAGTTGGTAAGTCGCGCTTCGCATGTTTATACCACAGACCTCCAACAGCTGATCACCAATCTGTAGGCCGACTTGCGACGCCAGACTGTGCTCGTACACGGTAGACACAAATACACCGCCGCTCTCCAGGCATGAGATCTGAATGCCCAGCGGTTCTACGGATTTGTCTATATGGACTCTACGCAGTTCTCCAGGCGCTGGACGTGGTTGCGCATAATGACAGTAATCCGGCATGCTGGCGCGCTTACTGCTGTTACTGCCGTTTCCTCTCACGGTACCGCCGCTGCTTCCGATCCCGCTGTTGTTAGAGTTGCCACTACCCGGGCTCAGTACTTCCACGTGAAACGTCGGCATCGGACTGCCACGTTCAGAGGTTTTCTCTATACTGCCGGTAGACAATTTTCCAACGCTGCTTTTAGATGTAACACTGGTGTTGGACGGTATACGGATGCGTTGGTCCTCCTTTCGGCCCGGCAACGTGCCGCCTTCATATCCATGCCCATAGATGGATGTGTCACAGGGTGACACTAGGACACTACCGAGCGGAAGTGCACGTGGCTTGTGATAGTGCAGATCTACGGAGGGCGTGTGCAGGTGGCCGAAGGTGGTCGGGGTCGTCTGCGAAGGTCCGGGGCTGTACGGGGGCTCGAAACAGTACGTTCGTGCATCGGGCAGGCCTATGGATTCACCTGACTGCGCGGACGGCAGCGACGGTGGCGAGGGATAGCGCGAGGGCAGGGAATTTTGGTGCTGGGTGGGATGCGGATGCAGATGATGCAAGTGCGAGGAGGCGGTATACGGATGATGCGAGGGAAACGGAAAGTTACCGGGTGCCATTTGCTGTCGCGACGTCGGCCCACTGGTGGTCGACGCGGCAGACGTGGACGAGCCGCCGATGCCCGACGAGTAGAGCTGCGAATGAACGCGATTGTGCTGCAGCGTATCCGTGGTCACCTGCGTGTCGCTACTGCTGCCGGTCGTATACTTTTGCGGCCGTTTGTTCGCAAAGTACGAATCGACGTCGCGGCCAGCGCCGCCGGACTTGACCGAAAAATCGATGCTAGTCTCGGACGGCGCTAACGCGGAACCGAGTCGCCCAGTGTCCGACGCGCTGCTCTCGAACTCCGCCGACGGCGGCTTCTTGCTGCCGCCGTCGATCGGGATGTCCTTGAACTGCACCGCCGGCGCGAACGACGGCTTCTGGCTAAAGAGCTGTCCGGTCTTGGTGAAGCTCGGTAGCGGGGTCTCCACTGCTTTGTAAACGGTATGACGATTATTGACATTGGAAAAGTTGGTTAGGGGAATGGGGTTGGAGATACGATTGTAATTATAATTATCATATTTTGGTGGATGCAGGAGTACACTGAGAGGAAAACGTTCTTTCGATTTGCGCGGATGCAATATAGTACCGGTCCCATTTTGTATGAGGGGTCCGCCGCGTGCCTTCGGCCACGTGCCGCCATTCTTCTCGATCTTCTCGGTGCCGCGTCGCTTGCTACGTTTCAGTACGCCATTGTTGCTGTTGCTCGCCTTTTTGTGATAGCTGTCGATCACCGAATCCAACTCCGCTATCGCGTCCTGCTCCTGCTCGAACGTGTTCGGGCTAGAATTGCGATGTCCCTTCTTTTTGTTCTCGTCCCGTTCCTTGCTGTGCTTGCGACCACGCACTATATCGATCTTTTCCCGGAAGTTGTCCCAAGCATTACTGATTCCACTCGATTTCTCACCGCTCATGGATTTCGCGGCCTTGTAGACGTTACGATCGGCGAAGTTTGTCGACAAATATCGCCTCTCATAATCGTCCGACGAGGCTTTCAGCATCATCCTCTCCTGCTCGGTTTGCGAGCAGCTGTTTACCATCTTTTGCTTCTCCGCAACGAAACTACCGTCTATCGTCACCGTTTCCGAACTGGCGGCGGAAGGTACTGGAATACCTTTCAATGTTGTGATCGTCAGCACGTCTACAGTATCGTCGTTTAGAATGGCCATCGCTTCGTGTGCGGTAGTTATAGTATCCATAGGTTTACTATTAATCTATAAAAGTGAGTATTGAAATTTAATATATAAATTATTTAATATCGATAATTTTTGATGGATTATTTTTGTATAATATTAATCTACAGAAATTAGAAATATAAATATAATAAACTTACATTTAATACTCGGTCTCCCACGGCGAGATTTCCATCCTTGGCGGCCAAACTGCCGGGCGATATTTTCGAGATATAAATTCCAAGATCCAGAGTAATACCATGCGGCACTGTGCCAACTGACAGCTGTGTGGTTCTTAATGATCGTCTAGTTATTCGACGTCGCTTTACAATCAATGTTGCCGGATTCACGGTGGACGAGCGTAAAGTCTCCAAGATCACGCGGGTCGACACGGATGTGCAGTCAACGTTGTTCACTCGCACAATACAATCGTTCACCCGTAGTTTGCCATCGAGAGCGCTACCCTGTGCCACTTGCGCGACATAGACACCAGTATCATTCGGATAGTACGGACTGTCGCGGCCACCGACGAGGATCAATCCCAGATCGCCACGCTCCGAATCCAGGCAAATTCTGCCAGGTTCGACGTGAATCGGAACCATCTCCCAGTCATTGCTCTCATCGATTTGCGCTAACTGGCTGGTTCGCAACGCATGGTCGCCAAACTCGATCTTCTCCTTCAGATCTTTCAGTTCTTTCGACGCCTCGTTGCGTTGCTTCTTGATGTCGTCGGAGTCGCGTAGAGCGCCGGCCAATTCGGAAACCGCACGATCACGCTCCTTTCGCAATCTATCGCACAGAGTTCTTATGCTTTCCCGCTCCAGCACTATCTTATCGCGCTCGCTGAAGGCCCAGTCTCTTCTCCTCTTCGACACCTCCGCCTCTTGAAGGGCCTCCTCGAGCTCCGCCTGAAGCGTATCGACGGACTTCCTGAGTTTATCCAACTCAAGATTAGCCTGCTCCAAATTATCCATACGTTGCTTGTCTCGTGTCGCGTAGTCTCTCGTATTCGTCTCCTTCTCAGCTTCCTTGCTAACGCTGTCGCGTTCACGACTGAGCGAATTCAATTCCAAACGATGTTTGTAGTCTCTACTAGCCCCCTCGGAGTAATCTCCGAATTTTTGTCGTAACTCGTTACACAGCTTCAAAGCCTCGTCTCTGTCTTGCAAGGCAGAGGAGATTTCCCTCTTCAGTGTCTCAATTTGATAAGACAGTGTTTTCTTCTACAAATAAACGGCGCCGATGTAACAAGTCGTTTATCATTATCGCAAGATATCATTTATTTTGATAACCAGATAGAACGTTGGTGATTTCAAATTTCTTTGCTACTTACAAGAATAAGATTAGTTATCTTTGAAAAATAAACGCATGCGGTATAATAGCAACAGTAACCATTCTCTTTAATCTTGACGCTTTCCTTTTAATACAACGTTGAGCGTGACTTATATAGGTATCGACAGCGACAGACCCGATTGGCGACTGAAGCGAACTGATAATCGTGACAGGCGCAGACGCGAGTTTCCAACAGTCGTGAAACAATTCGTTTCAGATCAACTCGTTTCGCGACATGACATTGATATCAACTAAACGTTCTAATAATATCAGTGAAGAATGTCGCTGTCGAAACCATTGAAGTTAAGTTATAATTTTGAATATTATGAAAGCAAATTTGAAACGACAACAAAGCAAGAGATGTATGCTTAAAGAGAGAATAAAAACAACACTTATTTTCCATACTCGATTACTCGGTTCATTACCTCTTCTACGAGCTGCTTATTCTGCGTTTCCAGATGCGTGACTTTCGCGTACGCTTGCGCAAGGTCGTCGCCCAACTTTTCGATTTCCTTGTGCACTGTGTCTCGCTCTCCCATAATCAAACTGTATTCTTGTAAGGCGGCGTTTCGTTCCTCGGTCAGACGTTTCATATCCTTACTGGCCTTCATGCGAAGGACCATCGCCTGATTGATCTCCTTGACCGCCTCCTCGTGCTGCTGCTGCACCTTGGTGAGTGCCTCGCGATACTCGTTTCTTTCTCTCAATGCGATATCCCATTGGCGAATCGCGGCGGTGCACTGCTGCTTCAAACCGTTGCGCTCGCGGATTGCGCTGTTGCGTTCCTCGAGAACGCTGTCGTATTGCTTTTTCAGTCTCTTGGCCTCCTCTTGCGACAACTCTAGCTGTATCGATCGTACAAGAAAATTTTAAATAAGTCTCCCTGCGCGCGCGACAATGCCGCGTACAGAACGACGCCTATCAATTACTTACCTTATTAACGGCGGATGAATGCGACGCTATCAAATCGTCGTATCGTTTCCTAAGGGAATCGTACTCATCCTTAACGGCTTCGTATTTTCGTAACGCGGAAAGATAATGCTGGTTCATAGTATCATTGCCCGCGGCATCGGTGACGAGAACCTCCTGGTTCTGCATGCGTTGCAATTCCGAGAGTTCCTTCTGCAGTGTCTGGACCTCTCGGTCCAATCGTTGTTTGTCATTTGCCAGATCGCCATATTTTGCTCGTAACGAAGAGCTCTCTTGCGACGTAGCTTCTAGTTGATTCATGACTGCTATATGTTGCCCCCGATAATACTCCAATTCTTTCATAGTAATCTCACACCTGCGGTTCACAGATTTTCTGTTACTATGCTTGCGAATTGCAAGAAATATCCTGAAAGTGAAGTTTCAAGCGTGAAAGAAATGCGACGTGTGTGTGAGTATGTGCATGATTAAAAATATGTTAAAATAAGAAGAATGATGGGAAGGGGGGAGACTATAAGCGAGAAAGATGGAGAGTCTGCGAGGTGCAAGAGAACAAAAATAAAACAAAATGAGAAAACAAACCGTCTTATGGTATCGGAGTGCTTATGCCTAAGTAGCTGAAGCTGATGCATCGCTTGATCACATTGAGCCTGCAAACCGTCATAGTCGCTACGACACTCGGGACCACCAACTGGGCTTCCAACACTGCCATAACTCCCGCTATCCCCCTCTGGTTTTATGCCACATGTAAGTGCCAATTGCAACGGCAAACACAATCGGAAAAAATAATCGATGTAACCCAATATAAAAATGTGAAATGTAAAATGTAAAATGTGTGCGCCAGTGAGAATGGAACGTATTGGATTTTATATAACTCGTGAGATGAATATAAACTAAATATAGGAAACCTTTTGAATAAAAAGGTGTGCTGTACATATTGTTCTGGTATAACTGACTTAATAATCATATTCAAGCATTACCACAAATGATGCGACAGGAGGTAATCACATTGAGAATCTATTGAAAACGTGACGTACATGGAGATGTAACTATATATGCACATGTATTTTTGTAGCGTTGGTTTAAAAATATCTCTTACCCATGTTAAGTGCACCATCTGGAAAATTAATTATAAACACCTGTATTACTTTCAAGCTGTACATATACTGGTCACGCGTGAAGGGAAAAGGGAAGCGCAAATGAGAAGAAACAGCACAAGTGAAACAAATAAGAGTACGAATGTTATCTGAACAGACGCGTTAAATTTCACAATAAAATTTAAAAGTCTGATACACTTGTTACAGTAGACGGAACCAACATAATCAGAGGTCTCGCTAGCTTTCACCAGGAAAGAAACTCTAGGTCACGCATGTAAGCATAGTGATTCATTGTTTTCCTAGGCTAACAAAATTATTGGCAATATTCCATCCGTTAAAAACAACAAGGTAATATCAATTTGTCACATTTCCTTCAAACTCATAGATCAGAAAACTGGTGAATGTTATTTTTCCTTATCTACGCCAGGATAATTATTTTATTGTGAAATTATTTAGATTATTTTAGACATTATCTTAATTAAAAAATCGCGGAAAGAAGATAAAAATCAATTGCATGATTTGACAAAATATGACTGAGGTATCGAGAGGTTTGAAGCAAATATTTCATGAAGCGTGTGTTTCATCCGGAGACTCATCGAACTGCGGAGTTTAATTCTCCGATAAAAATATTTCTGCGACGGCGGCGGTGCCGAGGACGACGACGTGTTGTCCTGACGTCGCAATTAAAAATACAATGACGCGCTGACGTTAGCCATACGCGGCGGAGAGAGAGAGAGAGAGAGAGAGGAGAGAGACGTTATCGAGCGAGCCGTTCTCTTTGCGCAAAAAGAAGTTGAAATAAAAACTGTCACTCACCGCTACTCCCAGCGCTGTCCAGGGAGGATGCACCAGAAGCCATGCTACTCAGTGGTGGGTCTCAGGGCGCCGCAAGGAGAAAAGGAGAGAGTGCGTGTGACGCACTCTGTATATGTGTGTGGTGTGTGTATGTGTTCTCTCTCCTACGTGCCGTGGTAGACCACCGTCTCTCTCTACCAGCACAGCCGCTCGTCCGCGCACGCCAGTGACAGGTATCGCCTGGAAAAGCGTGCCGTACTACACTGCCCGTACTTCACGGAAGAGCGAACCCTTTGTAAATTACTAAGAAGCAACCTTCGGGATGACATTACGGCCACA